CACTCACTCACTCACTCACTCACTCACTCACTCACTCACTCACTCACTCACTCACTCACTCACTCACTCACTCACTCACTCACTCACTCACTCACGTGCGTGTATGTCTGCACAGGTATCAAGGTCAAGATCTACATACAGGTTAAGATTAATTCGGTTTAGAAAGCAGCCTGCATGCAAGCAAGCAATCAATAGACACATTATCATTACCATCAACTCTCAAAGCTCCCAAAGCTCACACTATCTTAAAAAAAGCCCAACGAAACAAACGCCCCAAACGAGACGAGGACTAACTCCGATCTTAAATGCGCGCGCGCGCGTATAGGCTGTAAGTACACGCAGGGGGGGGGAAGGGGGGAATTAAGGAGCGACAGAAACGATATGAGAGGTAGGGTAGCAAGAGGCATGTGAGGATGTAGGGAGGGAACCAAGGCGGCTCTTAAGGGAGGGGGAGGGGCTTCACATATGTTAAACCCTAGGTACAGACTCTTCAGTTATCAAAACACTACACGCGCGCGCGCGCGAGTAGCATATTAAGGCACTGATCATGTACTGCATTCACCCTGGTTGCATGAAGCTCAGTTTGTACCTATGATATATGTATGTGTATAGGTAGATAGGACTAGGTTTTTTTAAACAAAGTATATTGTTTAAGATAATATTTTTCTACTAGTAGGTTTTTACCTACCTTATTTAGTAGTTTTTATAGCGGTTAGAGAAGTTGGAAAAGGTAGAGTTGTTAAAATAACTTAGGTAATCTTTTAAAAGATAGTAGAAGTTAGATTTAAATATAGTAGAATTTTTTATCTTTTATATAAGAAAGGTAGTATTGTTTATAATATACTATTAGAAATATATATTATATATTTTAGAAGGGTAGAAGTCTTTACATACTTATAAAATTGTAGTATTAAGAGGTTATATAATATGCTAAGATATATTACTTTATTTTCTAAGTACAACTTCTACTATCTTTTAAGAGCGCGGTTTAGACCTATATTATTACTGCCCGGTTAACCCCCTCTTTTACCTTGTATCTTTTTTGCTCCTTTTCTTAGTATTATAATAGATTGTTTAGATAGTAATCCACATAATGTTAAAGGATTATACTGTTTTTCAGTCTTCCTAGGTGGAAGTTTAGATATTACACTTTAAAGGGTACGAGATGCAATATTCAGGATGTCACAAAAATGAGAGATTACAATTAACTGTAGGTACTGAAAGTCAACAATTATCTTTGGAAGGGTTGAAGGGATAATGGAATGACATTCTCGAAGCAAAAAGAAGCCAGGAAAACGGACCAGCCCAGGGCAAAAAATGATTCAGCCGAGGTTTGAACTCGGGACCTTCAGTGCACTAACTCAACTCGAGATTGATTGTTAGACTGACGTGATAACCAACTACACCACCGAACCAGTTATTTGATGATTTTCCGAGTGCGTATTTGCTATATATCCATCGAATGAGCTGTGGTTGAGGGAGAAGAGGATGTGGAGGCGGATCGACGTGGAAGGCGATTAGCGAACAGAACACAAAATCTAACCCAGTTTTTACGCTTGCCACCCGCTTCTGGGACCAGGAACATCATGTTTGCCTATAAAAAGTGAAGCGTTTTGTTTGCTGTTGCATTATTCGTTGCTTGGATTCTGCTACTAATTCACCGCTATTTGGGTAACTACTGCATGTTCAAAGGCAAAAATTATCTCATCACCGCAATTCGTAGTTGCAGAAAACAGTGAATGTAGTTACATGTCACGATTACAATATTTACAACACAATTAGACCTGCATGCATCAAAAAATATTTTCTGTGACATGGTCTCTCGCGTAATTTCAGCTAATGCGCGACATCCATCATCCGTCGACCAACGAGTGAGAACTCGACAGACGAAAAATTCTCGTTTACCGTTCATGAATGAAATCTATGAACTATTACGTATTCTCATGGAAACTTTGTTGTGATAAGGAGTGTGAAGTGAGGCAAAAAAATCGCCGAAACAGAGGTCCTACCGAGATTCGAACTCAGGTCCCCGGAATGTTCTGAAGAATCAGAATCCGATGTGATGACCAGCTACACTATAGAACCGAACCACCGTTTGATTTTAAGGCTGATTTGAAATCGATGCGATTCCGCTGGTCAAATTGTTATATATCTCTTGATGTTTTTGCTCAAGGAAGCGTAGGAAATCATCACTGCCATCTCAAGCAAGCCACATCCCCGTAACTACGTCGATCCGGCGAGTGTCGGAAGTCTGACTTAGTGTGGATCGCTACCAGGGCCAGCTAAGTAATATCAAGTGGGGTCTTGTGAAAATGGCGAAGGGATAGGGGCGGGGCGCAGCAATGTGTAACCTAACTGCAAACAAAAAACGCCGAGGTTAACGAACCGAAGTATCTATAATACGTCTCACATATAATATACAACGCGCAATATGATAAAAAGCGTTTGTTGGGCCCGCACTCTCTCTGCATGCAGTCAACGAAGGCGAGATGGCCTATCAAATACACAGTAAATTCTCCGAGCCAAGGAGAGAAAAACCTGACTTCATGAATCGTTGAACTGCGAAAACGGTACTGTGGCGAGTAGACAACATCTAAGGATCAATATCAAGATAGAGATCGTCCTGTACGGCAGTACCCCCCTACAATGAGTGCTGCACCGCGCACGATCAGCGGGACGGCAAGATTGGATCAAGATGGCAATAGATACGATGTCCAATATATCGGCATCTACACATGCTGTGATGGCAAAATTTTCAGATAGATTGACGCGAAATGAAGCACTTTATGAGAAACAGATCCTTCAGCGCGTCGGAAAAGTTGTGATATTGTAACGGGAACAACATGTTCGGCGCCTCTTAACAGATGTTCCTTGTAGCCACCTATACAATGGAATTCGTTATTCCCAGGTATATGAATATATCGCAACGCAGTCCAGGTCTACCATACCAGACGCAACGCACATGCAAAACCACGTGCTGTTTCAATATGTGTTGAATGTTGACACGCATGATCACATGATGACTTGGCGGTCCTTCCCCCTCAAATCTCTCTGACTTCATCACTCGACTTTCTAAGTTAATCACAACTTGAGACGAGAAACGTTATGCAATAATTGTGACCGCAGAAACACGCGTCTAGCGTACGCATACCCATTTCGCCTCTGAACCACGATTTCCCCGCCATTGAGCACGACCAAGTCCATGCTCCTCCCATATTGAACGACCAGGGAGGAGTACAGAAGAACCACATCAACCACTCCACTGCAATTCGCACATCATCACTCGTAATCACATTCTTCCGAGTTCTCCCCCCCCTCCATGCCCCTCCCACCAAGCAACTACCCGAAAAATCCATTTCCGATCTCGTCACCGAGTCCACCATGCTGGGAGGGACATCCCTGCGAGAAACCGCGAGCTTGGGATAACGCGACAGAGTTGATCTCCACTCTCCAGAGTCTCCACACGCACCGGTGGGAAGTGCCGTCTTCTCGCAGAATTATCGATTGCCGTGGAGCGGTGGAATTCTTCCCTTCGGGTTTATACCCGAGAGGTGCGTGTATGCTTCCGCACTCTTTCCGCAACCTTTATCGTGAAGACCAGGCAGATAGATGAGCGAGACAGGCCGCACACGGACTCACGCGGATGACGGCTGTATGCGCGCGCAGGCAAGATCCCTTTAGTCTATCTTCTCCTCCAGACTCTATACCCTTTGTATCGTCTTAGTATTATAGCATCCTCATATTATACCTCACTATCTTAATTTTTTCTATCCATCTTGCCGCCTCACTCACTGATCGGATCCAAATAAGTATCGATGCCACCAAGCCGATCTAGTTCATCCCCCGACCTCAATCCAGATACTGCGGCCGGTAACAGCTGAGAACATTTCTCAACCCGAGCTATCCTCCCGATACACGCGGTACCTCGATCGATTTCATTCCATCTGACCTCGCCGAGCTAAGCTTCCCGTCGACCCCCCCACTTTCCCCTTCCTTCCTTCCCTCAACCCAACTCCGAAAGAAAGAAGCAAAAAAAGAAAGAACGAAGCCGAGGGAGAAAAGCGGAACAAGCACCCTCAAGCCGCCCCTGACCAACAAGACCTCTTACCGTTACCTGTCCCGCTGTCACAAATGTCACTCCCGTCAGAGATACACCTTACTCTGCCGTACCGGTGGTACCCCGCGCGCGGGCCTACCCACATCATCCCGGACATTGTATTTACTAACTAAGAAACCAACAAACCGTCAAAACACATTCACTAGCATCCATCCTAACCATCTCATCTATGTGATACCTTAACTAATGTCTCAAGCCCCCTAATCCCGAGATCGCGCGGGCGCGGGCGTGGGCGTTTCGCTTCCCGCTTTACTCAAACAACACAACACACGTACAGTATAGATTGAGAAGATGGATAAATGGAGTAGGATTACCACGTGAGTGCTAGAACGCTGTAATATGCTTTCGTAACCAATAGATTGTAATCCTTTGTAGTTCGGTGTGCGATGTAAGATGTTCACATGCACATATACATATATTATATCAAGTCCACAGAAAGTAACACTAGCATTTATGGAAGGATAAGTTCCATTCGTAGAGGTTATTTCTAAGTTTTGTTTAGGGTTGATGAGGTAAGATGTAACCCACGCGCAAAGGCTAGAAGTGTAATTTGGAGAGAGAATTATATTTATGCCTACCTACCCCTTTTAGCATCAACCCGCGCGCCAACCTATTACAAAGTGACTCCCTTCGCCCCCAGGTCGCGCTGCAAAACATCGAGGATAGCCTCGCTATTAATCTCCTCTTCACCTTTTAGTTTCTCTTCTGTAATTTGCTGACGTTCAAGCGCTTTCAAAGTCTTTGGATCAACTTTCTTAAGCGTTTCGTCAAGTTCAGCCTGTTCCTCGCGCTCCTGCTGCAAATACGCCTCCTCCATCAAGAACTTCTCGCTCGACGGCGGGGCTTCAGAAGCAGTAAACACATAGATGGTCGGGAACTCGAGAACAGTTTTCCCTCGTAAGGAGTCGGCTAGTGTAGTGTCCGGGGAGAGAGGGATCAGGACTTTGTGCGTGGATATAGTTTGCGGTTTTAGGAGGAAGAAAGAGTGGGTAGGAGGGACGACGGGTTCGGAGGTTGCGCCATGCTTGAGAAGGCCTGCATTATCATTGTGCGCCACTTGCTGCTGTGATTGTTCTGGTGGTTGGGAGGTGACGTCGTTGGCGCTGGAAGCGGTGGTGTGTTGTTGTCCTGGCTCGGCAGTGCAAAGTAAGGGAGGTCCTTCATTGGGCTTTTGCTCTGACGATAGTGACGTCTCCGTCTGAATCTTGTCAGAGTCCGAAACATTATCTGCTGGTGCAACTGCTGGTGCTGCTGATTCTTGTTCGATCCGTTTCCTTTTCCTGGAGCTGCGGAAAGGGTCGAGTCGCTGCAGGGTTTCTACTTCGCTGCACTCGGTGAATATATGGCAATCGTCGTCCCGTATCCATTCTATGGACCATACGATGTGGCCCGATCTGTGCGGTACGATTAGAATGCCGCGCGTGGCTTGTGGTACATGTGCCGGGCGAGACTCACTTTCCACGGTGGGTGGCATTCTGCTTCTGCCTGCTGAGGCCTTGTGGCGCCCGGATGACGGCTACACCAGCGGCTTCGAGTTGCTGGTTGCTGATCTTGCGGCGGTTGCCCCCATGTTGGAGAGCCGATGCAGAACCGCTCGTCGTGTTTTCAACTCTTTCCGCCCTCTGCAGCCCCCGCTCGATGCTGGTCAGAAAGTTGAAGTCGTGGTCGATGCCTGCGGGGGTCTCCAGCTGGGATCTCTTGACAAATTTGGTGGGGTCTCTTTTGCCGCTGCACTGTGCCCATTGTTGGTGTCGCTTATAACATGGCAGCGAGCAAGTCTGCGCACTGCAGCCGGGGCATTTGTATTTGAAGGGGGATATATTGCTACAATATGTTTAGTCTCCTTTGTTTATATAGTGCATGGGGCTGCTGAACATGACGTTGGAACAAGGGAATCATGGGTTGGTTAGTGCGTAAACGAATGGTATCCCGAATCGGGCAAGTCACGAAATGTTGAATTTGATAGGCGAAAAAAACCAGATAGTACACTTACCAAATGCTGCAGAGCTGGCTCAACGGAGCGTCGTCTGCCATGATGTAAGTTGCAATGCACTTTGAAAGCCGGAAAGTTTCAGCAGCTATCAATGAGGCGGAGAGGGGAAGTGCATGTATGGGGGTGGGAAGTTTTGCTGGGTGAAGTCGAACTGGAGGTGGAGACTGCACGTGCAATCCGATGCATTGCAGATCAGCCAAGCACGTGACACACCCACGGTCGTTCTTTCCATCTTTACCAAAGTTTATGTAGACGTTTGCTGCCAAATGACCACGTCAACGAGATGGACACAGGGTATACAATCAGCCTTTTTCATGCAGCAGAAGAAGATCTTGAGACGAAACGAGAGGTTGGAGGGACGGAAATGAGCTCCGCACCGACTGACTGGCGACAGAGCGGGCGATCGGACATAACTGAACGGTACACACAACTCACCACAGGCACAGCCCGAGATGTCAAGATTGTCAAGATTGTCGAAATGCGCCATGCAACATTGCGACATGTCCGTAGGCAGCGTCTACCTGGGACTCGCTATCAGGATTTTCTCTGGTATTGTGGTAGCGGCATGACAAGTGTCGGAGGCTGCAGCGCCATCCATCCTTCGCCCAAGCCAAAGTACCGGCAAATACCTTGTACCACATGTGGACAACCTCAACTCTGCGACGACGGACACAGAAAGTGGCATTTGAATCAATCTGTCAGCCTTTGAGATGACTCGTAGTTCGCGCGAAACGAACAACATGTGCCTTGACCTATCCCAAAAGGCGAGAATACTGGCCATAACAAAAAAGCAATCGCATGATAAATAATAGTGTGCCACAAGTGCAAGAAACCGGCCCAGCCACGAGGAGGATGCGAGATCAAACATGGCGTTTGCAGCGTCGAAGGAACGTGAGTGGGTTAGAACAGAAAGCAAATAACGCCCACGGGTCGGTGCCCAAGCCGAAGAAGGGTTGGATCGGCCTCGATGTTCAG